AAAACCCCAAAACCCCGCTGTATTAAGTAAAAGTTAGATTGAATAACATGATTTATGTTAAGTATTGATTAAATTAAGAATAAGTATTTAAATTCTAACTCATCAAATTTTTATTGTGCTGACTCATTTTTTTTCTTAAATTTACTTCAAGGAATCCTATAATGAAATTTGGTTTAATCTCTCAATTAATGAAGGTGGTTCGGTGATATCATCTAGTTTTTGAACGATATAATTATTTGAATGATTTAGGTAAGAATTTTGCTTTTATTTGGATCTTCCTAACAACAAATTTTCTTCTCTCTTTTTAGCAAGAGATGTTAAAATATCATATTAATCCTCAGAAGCTGAAGTTTTTATCAATTTTGAATCCTACTTTTACTCAAACTTATCTTCAACCTATTTCTTTATAAAGCTTATTTATCCTTATTTCAAGTTATTTTAAGTAGTCATTGGTTTTACAATTTTATTGTCTACATTCTTTTCAGATAGTTTGATTTCCTCTTTATCACATATTTTCCTTGATGATTTAATTGCTTATTGCTTATTATCTTAAGTATCGATTATAGAACGATGTTTGTCAATATGTTTTGGGGTCAGTTTTTATTTACTTGTAGGTGATTCGTTTTGATTCTTTTTAGCTGATAATCGAGTTGTTCTTTTCTATCCTGCCATTTCATGAGATACATCTATATTACTAAAACTGATCTCTGATCCACTACTATCATTAGAATCTTCATCTTCTTCTTCATCGGATTCAGAATCTTAGATTTTTCTTTTTCTTTTTTACTCTCTTAACCTTTTTTAATTATTCTTATTTTCACTGGATCTATTTAATCTTTTTCTGCCATCAGATTTTTGCTCTTTTACGGCTTTATTGTTAGACTTTACTGAAGAACTGAGATTCGATTTTTATTCTACTTATTTTGGAATTTCCTTAGTTTCCTCGATTGACATTTCATTTTCATCATCATCGTTAAGAATTCTATTAAATCTTCTGATTTATTTAGTTCTGGTAATATTTTCTTCATCATCATCATCCATCTATTTCTTTTAGATTATCTATTCCTTAGGACCATTTTTTATTGTAGGCTCAATTTATGAAACTTATCTATGAACTGCTTGCGGCATAAGTTCTTTAACTCTCTCTGAATTGATTTGCATTAGATCATCCACTTTTGTATGTAAAGTAGTTTCTTGATTCTATGCCACTGACAAATTTTCCCTTTATTAGGGCTAAAATATCTATCTATTTTTATTATAAGAATTCATATGTTCTTCATGGTATTAAATTTCAATGTCAGTCAAATTCTTAAGATAGAGTTTTTCAAAGAGGTCGAGATCATCTAGCCATAGCAACTCAATTGATTTAGCATTTAACTACTCTAGCATATCTTTCTATTATTGCATCTGATTCTTCAGTTCTAATAATTTGTCCTAAGTGAATTAGTACATATTGATCTGGAGTAGATATCCATAAGGATGATTTTTAAGCCCATCTTTGTCTGATATCTTTCCTGATTTATCTCCTGATTCTTCATTTTATATGTTATGAGTTGCCTCTAGTGGATTTATTTTGCTCTTTAGATCATAGATTTATTGATAGGTCTTGTAATTGTTATCAATTAACATCTACACTATTTAATCTTTCTTTTTTTTGAAAATTTATAGCTAACCATCAATGATCTCAGAGATAAATCTGTATTTATTAGATAGCTTCTCAAATTTTTGGTTCATCTGTTTAAGCATATTCTCCTTTCTTTTTCTGTAAAGTTCATATCTAAGATTGTAGAATTCATCTAGAATTTCACATTCATTTTAATATCTCTAAAGTTTCCCTTGACTGTTGAATAATACCATATTGTTGCAACTTAGGTTCTACTTTAGTTTGAAGCGCTTTTCAATATCTTCATGTTTTAAATTGATCAGAACCAAATTACTGGTAGTTGTAATTTCAAAGCTTATTTTATTATCCTTATGATTTTCTTATATATCCTTTATTTCATCTTGCTTTTAAGCCATTTCCTCCAGATGATTTTTGAATTCTCTTGTCCAGACTCTCAGTGGTAATTCAGTTATTCTTAGTATATTTGAGCCTACTATTTCATATTTGCCATAATTGGAATATTAAGTCTAATCTTATTCTCTAGCCTCAATTAAACCTTGGAAACCTTTGTACCATGGTTTCATTCTATGGAATTATTTACCATTCAGCTTTCTCTTGATATTTTAGATGATATCTATTGGAGAATAGCATGGAATATAGGTCGACCATCCAGTTCCAATTCCTTCGCATCCATTAATTAATACCAATGGAAGTATAGGAAGATAGAATTGAGGCTCAATTTTTAATCCTTCTTCAATTTAGTAATTTAGCAAAGGATCATCTTGCTCATTGAATAAAACTCTAGTCAGATTGCTAAGGTTAGTAAAAATGTATCTAGCTGAGGCTGAGTCTTTACCTCCCATCATTCTGGTCCCAAATTAACCAATTGGCATTAAGAGATTTAAATTATTACTACCTACAAAGTCCTAGGCCATATTTACAATAGTCATTTAAAGACTCATTTCACCATGATGATAGGCAGTTTATTCTGCTATGTAGCCTGATAACTAAGCAACCTTGATTTCAGCTTTAAGCTTTCTTTTAAAACAGCCAAATAAAATCTTTCTCTAGCCTGGCTTTAGTCCATCCATTAATGATGGGATGGATCTTAAATTGTCAGCAATAGAAAAGTGGATAAGCTCTTTATCAATAAAATCTCCGTATGTTAATTCTTTTTGCCTGTGATCAACATAGATATTAGGGTTAAAGTTTGCTAACCAATTTTTCCTATCTTCACTGAAATTTTTACCAAATGCTAATTTGATTTTTTCATCATCATTCTCACCTAAGTATTTGAACTTAATTTAATGATTAGCAATATCTTTAAAGTACTCTTTAGCTTCAGCAGAAGTTGAGGTACCTAAACCTTTGTAATACTTAATTTTATAGTTCTTTAATGCTTATCCCTTCTATTGAGCCCATTTTTCATATTCTGATATCGTAAAAAATTAATGCTTTTCTTTATCCTTGGAAGCTTTGATAATTGGTGTTACAAATTCTTTCACAAAGCTTCGTACATCTTGTATTAATGATGGCCACAATTGATGAATGAAATTAATGACTAAGCCTTTTATATGTGATCCATCATGATCTTAATCAGCCATAATCATAATAGAGCCATATCTCAAAGTATTTATGTTTTGATTATTATATTTAGTCCCAAGGAATAATCCAAGAATCTTAATGATATTTGAAATTTCATCATTTGCAAGGGCTTATTTGATACCAATATCTCTTACATTTATTAATTTACCTTTGAGTGGAAATACTCCATAATAATCTCTTCCAACAACCTAAATACCGCTCATTGCTAATGATTTTGCTGAATCTCCTTCTGTTAAGATCAAGGTGCATTTACTAGATTCACTTGTTCCAGCTTTATTAGCATCCTCCAACTTAGGAATTCCAAAAAGCTTTGATTTTTTCTAATTAGTTCCAAGTTCTTTTTTTAGCTTCATAGTTTCTTTTTACTCAGCTCTTTCAACTATTGATTCGATTACCCCACATTTACTTAATTATTTCAAAAACTTCTCAGATATTTCACATTTTGATCCAAAACTGCTTGCCTTTAAAGTTAAAGTTTCCTTAGTTTGCGAGTCAAATGAAGGATTGTAGATTAATGAGTTAATAAATATCCAGAGAGACTATTTTATTTAGAAAGGCTTAATTTCTATTTTCTTGTGTTTCTTATTAATCTGCTCAATTAAATTTTATGCTATCTAATCAGTGACGTGATTAACATGAGTTCCTCCTCTTATAGTCCAGATACTATTAACAAAACTTACTTGCTAGAATTGATCCTAAAAATCCTAAACAACGACTCCAATCTCCCAATGCTCTCCAAATCTTTAAACAAACATTTAAGGCAAATCTTTTTCCTTGAAATAGTATTTTATGTAATCCTCAAAACTTTAGAAATCAATTTTCTTACTATTATATTGAATTTTAACTGACTTTGGAAGTATTCCAGCCAAATCATAAACTCTTTTTGCCAATAAACTCACTATATCATCCTCAAGCTTTTTCATCCCAAATTTCTTAAGATCTGGCTCAAATGTAATTTTAGTGTATGATTTGGACTTTTCATAAGTTGTGATATCGGGTGAGTTAATAGTTGATAAATTATTTTCAAAGACTTATTTATATTTTTTACCGCATTTAGCACTTGCACACTCAACTGTAAACGCCTTTGAAAATATATTCGCTAATTTAGCTCCATAACCATTTCTTCCTCCTGTAACCTTTTTATCAGAATCATCATAGTTACTGGATGTTAGAAGGTGACCTATAAAAAATAAATCAGAATTTTTTACCGAAAACAAGTTCAGGCACATAAATATTGTGAGTTTTGTGTATTTAGATTGGTAGAGTTTCTCCACTATTATAAACAGTTATTCTATTCTTTTGAACATCTATTTCTACGCTTATCTCAGTAGTTCCCTTTTTATCTCTTTGGTAATTATCAGCTGCATTAACAAGTATCTCATCTAAAAAATATGAGTCTGTCTATACTTACCAAATATTTTGTAGAGTCCTGGAACATAAGAAATCTTTTTTTCCTTAAATCTCTCATTTTTAAAATCATAAACCCACATCAGCTATTCTTGATATTCAACTGAACCAATATATGTATCTGGCCTCATCAATATGTGCTCCATTTAAGTTTTTTTCTGGTATACTTTTTCTATTGTTTTCTGCGCCATTATCTGTTGGAGTTTTCCGCAAATTTTAAATTTATCTAAGATTTTATTATAATTTTGATTTAAGAAGGTTAGCCAATACAATTCGATTTCACTTAAATTCTTTACTTGTGGGGTTTTGGGGTTTTGGGG